TTATACCCATCCTCTTTATATATTTTTTCCTATGTATGGACATACAAAGTTTGTGCTGTTGTTTTTGCTACAGCTACATAATGAATGAGAAATAATCCTATGTGACCTGCACAAACTTTATTTAACCTATATCTCTTATGTGCAGGGCACGCGTACACCTACCGTAAACTGCCCATTTCAGATAATATGCACAGTATGTGTGCACTCACAGTTACATAGTTTTCTATATGTATTTTAAAATTTATTTAGAAGTATAAAACACGCAAATGTTTACAGGTTGAAGATATAGACTAGAAAAAAAGCTCAGAACCCTGTGCTGGGTACAAGGTCACCAAGAACCACCCAGCTGAAGCTGACCAGGGATGGCATGCAGCAGGACACAGTAACCGTGGACATGCTCTGTCCCCAGCTTCTGCACCAGAAGCTTACCTGCATGGCCACCCATGCTACCTCTTGCTGCTTCTGGTTTGCGGCCACTCCAGCTATTGTATCTGAGGTACTTCTCCATGGCTCATCCTGACCATTTTTACCACTCACGGGTCTTAAGGGTACTTGGGTCTCTCGCAAATGAAATGAGGCAAGTCCAAAAGGTCAGGATGTCAGGGTTCACAACCAAATTGACCGACAAAACAGATTCTATTGAAATTCTGTGATAGCTGAATGGTATTTTTATGACATGCTTGAAAGAAGTTTCCAATAGCTACTTCACTACCCTAGGGAAGTCTAATTTCCCACTTAAAAGAAAAAACAAAGCTACTCCAAGGAAAAAAAGCAAACAACATGTAGACTAAGAACAAATACTTATTACAAAAAAAAAAAAAAAGAAAAAACAACACAGAAAGCTTATCTTTATTAATTACCTGTTTCTTTTGCCTCATTGGGCACATAAACATAATACAACCTCAGTTTGCCTGGGCTGAATGATGCTTATATACAACACAAATTGCATTGTGTCTCACTTCCCTCTGTTTTTCTCCCTTTCTCACCCCTTCTTCTTTAAAGAAAAATGTAAAAAATTCAGTCTCCTGAAAAGTAAAGATAAAGGCAAATAAATCTATCAGCTAGGTAACACTGAAAAAAAAATCTGTGTTTTTCTCCTTTACACAGCACAGGGAAAATCAAAATGGACACAGTCACCATGAAACATCTCTGAACTATTCTATTAAAAATATATTTCAGGCAGACATTCATACTACTATTTTCAGCATGGTCCCTTTGCCCCCCCATCACATATTGAGGGTGATATGTCTTAAAAGTATAAACCAAAAAAGCAAGGAAACAGAAACATAAGCCATCAGTTAAAAAAGAGACTATGTACTCTGCATGCAAGTTTTAATATTGAGAGTATTGCATTTAAATATCTAATTTAAAAAATACTTTTAGATAAGAAAAGTAATTACATTCAAGAAATACTCTTACCTGGGGAAAAAGTTTTTTTAATCTATGGACAGTATTTAAAATAATACAGTTCTCCAAGTGGTGAATTGATTGGCCATGCACTTAGAAACAAGGCCTACTGAAACTGCACTTTTCATTGAAAAGGTTCAGCTGTGTTGTTTTTTTTGTTTTTTTTTGTTTTTTCCCAAGTTTAGCTCAATTAAAAATATTTAATTTCTTAAGTTCAGAATAGGTTAACTAGGACATAGACAAAAAATAGTATCAAAAAAGCTTCCTTCCCTTGTCTAAGTTACAATCAAGAGGCAGGTGCAAAGAGTCTAACTTCTCAGAGGCTCTTATGACTACTCAGTTAAATTTCTTGACTATAGTTACCCATGAAGTTATAAATACTTCATGGGTAACTATATGGGTTATAAATAAAAATGTTAAATACTTTCTAGACAGTCTAGCAACAATTTTACTGAGCCTGCTTTTGTTTATCAAACAATTTTATGAAGCTGGAAATCTCTACTTCATAATGCTATCCAGCATCTTTGGAAAAATTGAGTGTGGTCTTATTCAAACTACTCAAAAAAAAAAAAACAAACCACATTTTTCAAATGTTCTCTAGCTAACATTTTAATTTCACAGTTTTGTCAGTCATACAAAACAAGTCTCAGGTCCAAGATGACTTAAACTACACACACACGCGCAGGAAATCTGTCCAAGAAGATTCTGCTTGCATTGACCTATGCAATTTATTTATCTTTCCCAATTTTTTGCCCCTACAAGCAACAACCCTTTTACAGCTACCACGACGAGTCCTAGGACATGTGCTTGTAATGTTCCTGTTGCTGATAGTGACTTTTCTCCCCTTCTGATATTTTTTGTTAAAAAAGAATCCAGAAAAAAAAAGTCACGAAAGCAGAACTGAATAAGGAAACACGCACAGAGCAAATCAATCACTAGAAGTGTTATCAGTATTGATTACCTAATAGCTTCTACACAACTTCCATAAAAACTACTATAGCCGTATCCTAAGTATGTGAGCATTAACTTATGAATTTAGGAATCAAATGTTTTCAGGTATGAAATACTCCACATCTGAAAACAAAGAAAGTAAAGGATGCTTTCCACTGCAAATAAAACGATTACATTTCAGGAGAAGCACATCAAGAGCAAATGGATACATTCTAACTTCTGTAGGCCAAGTTCTTTATACTCATAAGCATACCAGATGTTACTATCACATATTCTCAATAGATAAATAACAGGAATACTTCCTAAGTTATCTTGATCCTTATGAGCCTTTTCTATATATGAATAAAAGGCATACCAAAAACTCTTTATCAGAGTTCCCTCTAAGAAAGCTTAAGCTCCAGTTGTCACATCAGATCCTAAAAAAGAAATCCAGAAAAATGAAAGACAGAACCTCTGCCACCTGCACACCATGAGGACAAGTACCTCACATGCCAGTTTAAAACCAAACCAGGTGTTTTCAGAAAGGTTCATACAATTCACTGTGTATAGGTACCCCTACTAATTTGATCTCCAACTTTAAAGTTAATAAAAACCTATTATTTTCAGCTTAAAATTTAACGTTTTAAAGCTTTTTCACCTTCAGTCATATATTCAGTACAAGTGTGCACGCAATATTCGGGACAACACCATATATAAAAAAATCGAGGTACTGCAGAACAAGTTATCTTGTCAGACAATGACAACTCTCCCCAGCTTCAGTACAGCATCCTGACACATCAACTCCTGTGTTTCCAGTCTCTCTGACCAAAAACTCACAGATGTTTGATGAGATGTTTTTATTATTATTGAGTACTGATATATGATTCAATAGTTTTTATACTTGTTAATGCTTACATCTTGATTTCAGATGCAGGAAAAGAACTGTCAATTTTCCTATTGGATTTTCTAAAGGTTCAGTCCACCATTTCCAGGAAAAGGAATTAGATGTAGTACCTTTCACTTGTTAATGTTTCTGAGCATTGTAGTGACTTTAACATGGTGTTATAAAACAAGTAACAACAGGAAAAAAAACAACAACAAGCCCAAGATATTTCTGTTGTCAGTTTTAAACCTGAGGAAAAGGAATCTATTAATAACCTTCTGAGCAAAAGGACAAAAACCAAGATGAATGTGTCTATAGGAAACACTGTTACTATATTTATGTCAAAACAGATCTTGGGAACAACAGACCAATAGAAACAGGGAAAGCCGCACTCTCCAGTGGTTCCTTTCTCCCCAAAGAGAGATCCTCACCCCTTTTATCCATCAGGAAATCCTGACACTTTCTGGAAGTTAGGCTGTAGTAGGAGAGAGCTCTTCAGTGACACCGATAACTCGACCTCCTTCTCCCCAAGAAGGAACTTCTTGAGCTTCCCATTTGGACACCACATATCGAAACCTTTCCAGCACTTCACTGTACGCTAAACTTTGCCGCCTCGCTACGGCATTTCCCTACCACCTGTGGGTCTCAAACACTTCTGAATACATGAAACCAGAAGATCCAGCACAGTGGGCACGGGAAGCCACAACTGCTCCAGCTGCAGAAGGCTCCCAACATGAGCTGCCTTACAGCGGGGGGCTTTAGGGGAGCAGGCACAGCACTGACAAGGCCAGACCGGCTCCTCGAAGCCAACCCACGGGGAGCAGCGTGAGGGCAGGTGGCCCAGGACCCGTGAGGGTGCCCCGGCCCCCCTTCCCGTGCTGGCAGGGCACGGTGACATCCGTGAGCAGCGAGGAGAGGCAGGCTCAGCTCCTGCACCTCCATTTACCGCTGCCCTATCGGGCTCCGCACACGGCACAGCGACCAGAGGAAAACACGACTAAAAACAGCCGAGTTTTCGCTCATTTCGCTCCTCGTTTTCGCCTGAAGAGGAGAGGCAGACAGGGAGGGGGCATTTTGGAAGGGAAGGGGGCGGGGAGGGCACCCCCTGCACAGGCAGAAAACCCAAAACAAGAGGGAAAAGAGGAGGAGGGTGGGGGGGGGACACGGGGACAAGGCTGACACGGGGCAATGCGGGACCCCCCGGCCGGCTGCGGGGCGCCCCCCCCGCGAAGGTCGCGCCTGAGGGGCGCCGTTTATATAACAGCCGGGCGGCCACCGCCACCACCACGGCCACCACCACGGCCACCAGGGCCACCACCACCAGGGCCACCCCCATCTTCACGTGCGGTGCCCCGGCACGGCTCGCTGATGGCGGCCGCCCCCAGCCCGGCTGCCCCGCAGGTGCAGCGGGGAAGGTGCCCACCTCCCCGCCCCCCCCGGACTCACCGTGAAGGGCTGCCCGTGCAGGCTCCCCACCGAGAAGCAGTTGTCCCCCGGGTTCACGGCCCCCGTCAGCACCTGGTGCAGGTTCATGGCGACACGCAGGCGCCCGGCGCTGCCGGGACGCCGCCGCTCGGCCCTCCCTCGTCCCGCGGGCGGCGGCGCAGGAGGAGGAGGAGGAGGAGGAGGAGGAGGAGGAGGAGGCACTCAGCGTGGGGTGGAGTCTCCTCGGCGGGGCGGCGACAGCGGAGCAGCGCCCCCTACCACCCGCCTCGCCGCCCGCCCGCCACTGACTGCCGCCACTGACCGCCCGCCGCCTCGGCGCGCTTGGCTCTCGCGAGAGGCGGCCGGGATCTCGCGAGATTCCTCCCGCCGCCGGGCGGCCATCAGCCGCTGCGCATGCGCGCCGCGCCGGCCCTGAGGTGGTCGGGGTCTGTCAGAGCGGGCGGGGGGCGCCTCACGCCTCGCTGCGCCCGTCCCCGTCCCCGTCCCCTGTCAGGGGTTTGGGGCCGCCCGGCCCCGTGTCCCAAAGCAGCATCAGCGCTGTTGGGGCCGTCGTCCTCCCCCGTGAACCGCAGCGCCCGCAGTGACTTGCATTCTCTCGTTCCGGGGAGTGGTGCAAAGTCCGAGTCGCCCCTCACTATAATAATGCACTATGTAATGCACTGCTGCTGCAGAGTTTTATGCAAATAAACGAAAGATTTCTCTTATCTCGTCTTCTGACGTGACGAAAATTCACATTTTTCACTGTGTGTACATAGACATCCCCTCAAAGGGCCACGTTTCTTATGCTAGAGATAGACTTCTGTCACCCTAATCACTTATTTTGTTTGGGAAGGGATCAAAAAGCTTATCAAATTACCAGTGAGTCCAACCAAATTGATCTTATCCTTGCCAGGAGCAACGCTCACAAACAGATAATTTTATCCTTCTTTCAACTGCAGAATCTGATAGAGCAACCCTATGGATTTTTAAGGTAACAAAAATTTTCACTGGTCCTGAGCAAGAAAGTGAACTGTGGCTGAGCCCTGTCAGGAGCCCCCCCCTTGCCATCCCCTTCTGGGCCCAGGCGGTGAACCAGCCCAGCCGTGGTTGCAGCCAGCCGATACTCCTTCCCCAGAGGATGGTTCCAGAATATGCCGGACAGAAAAGGTCAGAAATCCTGCAGAACTACCTCGTTACTCCACAGGAGTAAAATGCATACGATCTGCAGCACGGCAAGGTACCAGGGTGACAGCAGAAAGCAATCCCAGACCTCAGTCTGATGAAGAATTCAGGAAGAAGGGGAAATTTAGAACACTAATTTAAAAAAAAAAAAAAAAAAAAAAAGTAAAAGCAAAAGTTTCCCTGATAAGTGCTGTTTAACCTACATCTAATTACAACATAGTATGGTATGTTTACAGCTGACATACCCAAACATGCTGATATGGCAAGAAAATAAGGAACCTCTCATTTCCTTTCTATTTAGATTTGGTCTTTTTGACTGCAGATTAGTTTGTTTGCTTTATTGTGTAACAGAATGGATGTTGCCTTTTTCTTCTCTTTTGTGACAGTGAGAGCCTATACAATGGCCTGTCAGGCACATACTTCCCATATTCTGGCTCCCACCCCACCACCTTCCCCTTCCCACCCTTTGCTGTCAGCGGTCAGCTTTTGCACGCGAGCTGTCACTCTATGCTGCCAATCCCTGAAGCTGCTGCTGTGCATCTTCCACTTCTCAGCCTGGGGAACAGCAAGGGCAGCCACCAGAAGTGGGGCTTGTGCACACTTTCCTCCATGCGGTGCCCCATCTCACTTCTCCTGCAACATCTGTGAATTCAGCTACAGACAGAATATGTACAGTATGTTTTGTTATATCAAAGTGAATGCATTGTTTGGCACTAATAAATTTCAGCTCCGGCCTGTGCGTTGTCATGCTACAGGAAATAAATATGTTTCAATACAATTCAAAGTATATTTATACCTCGTATTTTTGAAGAAGCAAAAAAACAGGTTTTTCTTGGAGTTTCGAACCTTGACAGTGATTAGAAAGTTAAAAAAATATCATAAAGTTGATAGCCACCAAGAAAGTATTTTTTTATGCTTTTTGGTCATTTTGCTTATTTTTTCTCACCTTCTTCTAAGCAAATAGTTTGTCCAAAAAGCTGTTTATTTTTCTTCCCACTCAGAAGAGTCTAAAAAATGGGAAAGGCGTTAAATTTGCCCTATGAGATTGCAAAACACCAAGGCAGGGTCCTTTTCAATGTCTTGCCCCTGACATCAGTAAATATTCTGTTTTACAGTCCCTGAGGAGCTGTAATTCTCACAAGCCAAGCTGCTGATTACCATCATTCAGAACTCCTGCTGCGCATGCTCACTCAGTTCTCACCTTTGGCATTTCAAGGGTGAACCATATAAAATATGCTCAGTATCAGAATAGCATAAGATGGGAAACACTCTTACTTCCTAGGGTAACATATAGTGGCTGTGGCCTTTCTGAAATGCTGCCAGAACTGCAGCTTTTGTGCATGCATAGAAAAGCTTGGAAGTGAATGATGTACAGCTTTTTGTATTATTGGACAAAGCATTATATTTTCAGTAACAATCAGACCTTTAAATGCTCCAAAAAGCAGTGTACCAGGTATATACAAACACATCGTGCCTTAGTCTTGCTAAGGCACATCTTGCTTGTATTTCACTAGTAAATCCTGAAGAAGTCCAAATGAGAATTTTAAGTTATGTTCCTGCGTGTCTGTTCTAAAATGAAAATTGCACTTGTGCAAAGCAAATCCAAGTTAATGGTATTCTTTGGTGTAATGTGGTAGAAAATCAATGCAGATTTGTAAATTACTTCATTTGCACAAATGCAATGACATATTTTGTGTTCTTTCTCTGCAATAAATATCCATGAGTCACTCATTAACAGCAGTGAGCTTGCTTATGTCAATGATACACAGGAAGCTTTGAAAGAAGCTGACATTTTAAGTGGCACATTTAGTGTTTGTCAACAGTACTAGTAAATGTTGTTTTCTTCCCTTAATTTCTTAAAAATCATATACAGGTATGTAGCTTTTTCTTTTTTTTTTTTTTCCTTTTTTCTTTTTTCTTTTTTCCTTTTTCTTTTTTTTTTAAATCTTTTTATTTCTTATCAAAAGGAATTCATTATATTCTAACTTACTATTTAGTAAAACAATGCACTCTAGCAGGGAACAACTGTTCTGCCACATGTACTCATTGACTTTGTATTTCATGCCCTTGATCTTTCTGCAGGGATGTGGACACCAAAGGCAAAATCCTGACCTTAGTGAGGGTAAGAGGAAGATTCCTGACTGACTTCCCAAAGATCTGGAGCTCACCCTCATTGCCCAGGTGCGAATGATGCGAAGGAGTACTTGATTCTCTTCTTGAGCTTTCAAGACGTTTGGCAATATAAAAAGAGTGAAAACACAGCAAGGTGCATGAAATGTATAAATATATAAATATTGTCATTTAGTAGTATGGTCCTAAACAGTCAATCATTTTGTGAAGCCTTTCTTTTAAGGCAGCTTGTTTAGTTGATTTCTTCTGTACCCTGTGTTTTACATCTGTAGCCTCCAGGTTAGAGTGACATTTGCTTGTTTTTTTTTTTTGTTCTGTTTTCGTTTGGTGAAAGACATTTTGTAACAGTTCACATTGTTACCTCTCTTAACATTTGCAGTGCAGTACATTCTCTTTTACGTCTGTGATCTGACAGAACCTTTTACTTGTTGAAGGAGATACTTGCTGACTGGTATCCTTAGGTAAAAATCCTAGTGAAGATGTTTTGATTTTTTCAGTTCATCTTTTATTTGGCTTTTGGTGAGGCTTCCATTTTGTAAGCTCAGAATATTTTCAGTAGTTGTTTCCAAGGCAAAAGCCATTATTAGATCCTTTAGGTTTGCAAATGAACAGTTGCCAATTAACAAGCTTTTAGAATTCCCATTCATATTCAGAATTTTGCACTCATTTCATAGACTGAGATTAAAGCTGCTTTTGAAGAAAATCACACATGGGCTGCTGTGTAATACATTAACTGCCCACTCTTTAATCACCAGTCATTATCAGTAATTTACAAAATGGAAATTAGGATTATTATTTATTTTTTTACATCCTTTACTGGTGCCTTGAAAGCTCATTTTGTTCTTCCCAGTTTACCTGGAACAAGTGAGCTTGGTGGGAAGACTGGACCAGGCTCCTTGCTCTTGCCTTCTGTTCCCCACACCCCAGGCTCTGAGCTCCTGACAGTGGTCCTTCAAAGCACAGGTGGGGAGCCCTGAGTCTCGCCCCACTCCCTGCAGCTGGTCTGTGTTTGGTTCCTTCCTAGCAGAGAGCAGCAGGGCCAGGGCCAAAGGCCAGGTGAGGGTGGGCAGGTGGCATGGAGGATGGCAGGGCTTCAGCACGGTGCTGCTATGCGGAGTGAACACCAGCAAAATCCAGAAGGATCCTGCATGGCCTCTAGGAGTCCTGTCACTATCAATGCTAAATAGTGCCAATTTCCAAACGGATCAGTCCATTTTCTAAATTTCTTCAGTCTCAGTGTTCACAGGGTACTTTTCATTACACGGTGCAAGACTCGTTGTCCTGGAAAAGACTGAGCAAGGCTTTCTCCTCACATACAGAGATGCCTTTTCAGCTGGTCCATTCCTTGTGTGGACCTGGGAGACTGCATCTAGCCCTGGAGAAGTTCCTCAGACAGTTCACCTTCTGGTGCTGAACTCTGATTAGGCTGCTTGTGTGTAGTGTGTGATTTGATATGGACAGGAAAGGCTATTAAAATATGCATTATGCAGTGCTGTTTACCAGGATGTATGTGTCCTTTATATATAAATCCTAAATTATTCAGTAAATCTATACTTTTCTCAAAGATACAGTAGATTTCAGTTTCAGTATAAGAATAACCAATATTTATTTATTTAGTTTAGTTTACTGTGAAAAGTAAGTTTTAAATGATATGTAAATATGTAGACATGTCCACATGCAGATAACGAATATTCATTCTGCCAGTCTGTTCTAAAGTTGAAGTTTCACCTATGTTTTCCATATCATATTTAAAAGGGTGACATCATTTATAGGTGTTCCTGAGAAACTTATTTGAAGAATAACTTTACTGTGCCTTTCACATCTGTGTTAAGCATTTGCTTATGTGTTTCCAAATTCAGTAAGAGGATGTCTCCACAAATCTATCACATGCAGATGTTTTTATCTAGGCCTTTAAAATGGCATAAGATGCTCACAGGATAGCCTGAAAAATAGACCTTATGTTTTTTTTCCAACCTTTTATTTCTTTACATTTAGGTTTTAACCTCATAGGAGGGAGGTGTGATGTTTTGACAGGGGAGAGAGATAATTACTCCATACCTGTTCACAGCTTCAAGCAGGCAGCCATTCAAGTATTGAGAAAGAAAAATGCCAAAACACATCAGTCTTTTGTTCTCTCCTTTGGTACTTTAACTCAGATATAACACATTTCTCTTTCAAAAGCACACACTCCATTCTACCTTGAAGCCACTTTGTGAGCTAGTCTCTCTTTTTCCTTTTCCTTTTCCTTTTCCTTTTCCTTTTCCTTTTCCTTTTCCTTTTCCTTTTCCTTTTCCTTTTCCTTTTCCTTTTCCTTTTCCTTTTCCTTTTCCTTTTCCTTTTCCTTTTCCTTTTCCTTTTCCTTTTCCTTTTCCTTTTCCTTTTTCCTTTTCTTCCAGCAGTGTTAATATACAAGGCAAGTTCAGGTATTATTTAATTGTTTTTTTGCTTGCTACATATCAGAAAAGGAGCCATGTTACTCCCCTCAGGCACCCATATACACATACACAGTGTGTCTGTTCAGTGAGGAACACTTGCTTCTTTAATATTATCTTTTTTATATTCTATTTTTATCACCCACAGTAAAGTGGAGAAGAGAAAGGAAGAGCAATCAGATCAAGGAGAGCTGATCTTTGTCTTACTGCAAATTCCTTCCACCATTTGATGGCATTCAAATCATATCTATTCATAGCTCTGCAGAAAAAAAGTAATAATAATAATAAAAAAAAAGAAGCTCAGACTAATAACTAAGACAGTAAAATTTTAGCCTGGTTTTAAATTCACAGTTGGCTGCTATATGCTGAGTAGAAAATGACATTGCAGCTATGGGTTGACAGGATCTAAAAGTTACATATGCATTTCTTATTGAAGTAGGCTGGTGGGTTGTCCATCAGTATGAAGCTTCATCCATTTTGCAGACGAAAAATATAACTTTTCAGCTAGATTAAAAAAAAAAAAAAGCACAATTTCCTTGTTTTAATTTTGCAGTGACTGTAAATTGTCACTGGTTTTTATGAAGACTGTGACTTTTCTGAAACAGCATGTGGTTTCATGATGTAAACTGTTTAATCTGCCCAAGAGCAATAATGCTTTCTCGTGACTCTTCCTCCACCACATATTGTACACTCCACCTCAATGGACTGATTTTATTTACTGCTGAGTCAATATTTACCACTTTGCTACTGCCTGCAGTAGTTTTAATCCCTGTCTGAACAATTGAATGGTACCAGGAGCTTTTTAAAGCCTGTAGGCCTTAACCCTGTCATATTCAATGAGTTCCTAGGGAAAGTTAAAGGGGATCAACACCCCAAAGGGCTCAAATGGAGGTCTGATTACGGAAACCATGTGTAATGGAGCAGTGCTAAGAAATATTGTACATCGTTCCTTTTACAGTTTGTTTCTTCCCGTAGCATAACATTATTTGTGAGTGAATGTTGGTATTTCATTGCAGACACTTACCAGGAAATATTTTTGCTATCTAAAACACTTGATTTCAGATAAGATAGCTGGAGGGATAGCTGCAGAATTTCTGCCTCTGTCCTAGCCCCTGTTTGCAGATGGAATTGCAAAAGTCAGCTTACGCATAATGTGTAGAGGAAGAAAAGAGCCCATGCAGAATAAGTATATCAGTGAATTATCTCCCGTGTTCTGATAAGATAAGGGGCTATCTGATGTCACTGATAGTTGCACGTGGACACATGTGCGGACAGCAGTATCACAAAAAGGGGAGAAATGCCTGCTGCCACCATCCACAGGAGAGGTGGGCACAAGAGGCCGGGGCAGCTGCCCTGCCTGGGAGTGTGCACAGAGCCACGGCACTGCAGGTTTTGCTGGCACGTATGGGTGAGAAGGAAGTTGTTGCTGATTATTGTTTGTATTGCAGTCATCCTGGAGGACTTCACTGGGACACAGGACGTGCTGTGTGAGGCAAGGCACATAAAAACTCGAAGGTGTGTGTCAGAGGATATTTTCTGTGCGTGTGTGAAGAGAAAGGATCCTGCTTTGGCGGAAGTATCCACCTGAGAAAGAACCAAACCTAACAGAACATAAGAGAGAAATGAAATAACAGCCGTCGGGAAGCTGGTTTCCTTCTCTGCTTTGTTATACCAAATTGTGTTGTATATACAGATTCAGATCCAGGCAAAGCTATTTCATTCTTTTCTTCCATGTTAGGTATATTTCTCTTTAAGCAGTTCACTCTGTCAGGTTTTCAGGCAATGATTAAAACCCACAAAATCTCCTTGAAACTTATGGATACCAAAACACCAACAGAGCTAATGTAGGTATCTGTGCAACGCTTTATTCACAAGTACAGTTAGTCCACATGTATGACACTGTAGCTCGTAAGGGTAGACTATCAGTGTTATAGATAAATGAATTTTAGAACAACAGAAATAGATTTCTGTTCTGCAATTCCAGTGTCTTTTTCTGTGTTTTAGCTGCTGAACCTCCATTACAAAGGCTAGTGTGATTCAGTAGCACTGATGTGTAGTATTTTATCAAGACCAGTGTCTATAAGGAATTCTTGTTTGAGCTTTACATTAAGTATAACTCTGTATTACTTCTGTTTCTCCTGAGGGACTTTGCAAAGAAACCAGTAGCAAACCCAGTCAAAAGTCAAAAGCATGACATCCAGGTTGGATGGGGCTTTGGGCAACTAGTGGGAGGTGTCCCTGCCCATGGCAGGGGGTTGGAACTGTATGGTCCCTAAGGTCCCTTCCAACCCCAATCATGCTGTGACTCTGTGATTCTGTACTAATTTGCTGTTTGCTTTTGCAGCTTGTTCAATCTTCTCCTTAAGTAAAAGTAGAAAGACCCAGCCTTTCCGCCAGGAGGACAGAGAAATGAGATTGATAGTAATCAGATATAATCTATAATTAGGTTCTGTGTTTAAATATACCAAACCAGAGGGGAAAAAAAAAATTAAAAAAATAAACTCAAAGCACTCAAAAGGCCAAACTGACAGTTCAGTCTAGGAAATTGTTTCCTGCACTTGATTTCTATGTCACATTTAACAGTCATGTTTACCTTTATAGGATATAAAGTATGTAGTATGTGCCTGTATGTATGGTTTTGCGTGCAAGAAGGGGAGAGACTATGAATCATCACTAATGCATGCTACTTGGCATGTTTTCAGAATACATGGCAGTTGGCAATGATTACTTGAAGTATTAGGAGATATGAATCTTTATTTTTTTAATTGCTCAATGATTCAATCAAGATTTTTTAAAAGACTTTTACAATTCTAAAAATTAATAATGTTTTTATATTACATAAGTAGTACTATCTCATATAATGTATGGTTTTTTTTTTTTTGTTTGTTTGTTTGTTTTTTCTCCTAGATAAAGCACTATGGTTTCTGCATTATCACCAACTGTTAATCAACTATTTGACGAATCAATCTGTGATTGTTTTAATGGGCTATACAATAAGCAGCAGAAAACATGAGTGTGTATATATATACAGACACATTGATAACACCATTTTGGTTTTGGTCATAGCTAGATGAAATTACTGTGACAAAAGCAATTTTCCACTGTATGGTTGATACAGATGTAATTAAAAATAACAGTCCTTGGGCAAGTGTCAGTATAGTATCTTTGTTCTTGTACTTCTTACAACTGTTATCTGCAGAAACTTACAAAACCGTAAGCTAAACTAAAATAGTTATGACAGCTTTGAATGGGATTCAATTTAAATGCTTTGAACTTTGCAAATAATTTTGTTCTTTTTCTAGAGATATAGTGCATAACAAACATAAATGAATTTTAGGTCTGGGAAGTACTAATGTAGTAATGTCCATTTTGCATAATAATATATCAAATATAGTAACAGAGTTGAAAGAAATGTAAAGTTTAAATTTAAAGTTTAAAGCCTCTTCAGGCTCCTCGAGGATGGGCTGTGGTCATGGGCCACATCAGGAGAGATGTGCCAGCCAGTGAAAACCGGGTTATTTTACAGCTAGAAACTGCCTGCACTTCTCTACCTCTATATATTGGAGATTTTTCAGTGTAGAGTGCATGCTGAGCACCTGAAGGTGGTGTAAATTCATGTTCCCAGTAGGTTAATATACTCCTTCTCACAGCCTTCTGACTGCAGTGCACACATCATCAACAAAATTTCTGTTGCACTCTAATAAAAAAAGCTGTCTGTGAGCCAAGGTGATCTGACGATAAACCTTTACAGGCTGTCTGTGAATTTCTCACCTTCATCCGTATCAGCCAGGAATTTTTAATGTAAAAGCAATTTTATTAATTTTGCAGCTGAGGAGGGCACACTACTGATGGATTACAACCGTTTTCCCTTTCTCTGTTTCATAACTTTAGGTGGCAGCACCACAACAAAGGTCTTTGCTGTACCTGACCACACACATTCACATGACAGCAAAATCTGTGCAAGAAGCAGCTCAAGTGACAGAAAACTCCAAAATAAAAAAGCTTTGCATAATATCACACAGCCACAAGCAGTACAAGTCAACAATCTTTGTGTCATTTGGCTGTTGGGTGGCTTTCAGCATTGCAGGCACAGGGTTGCTTTTGAGACTTTTTTCACATGCGGACGTCACCTGAGCTGGCCTTGGACATGCAGGGGATGTATTCCCTCCAGCCCGTTTCCTACTGTTCACTGAAGTGCATGCTGATTTTTTTTTACTGATCTCATTGGAAGAGCACTGAGCCATCTTTTCCTATTATCTCACAGCAGCTCTCTTCACTCTGCTGGCCGCAGTGCTGTAGCATGTGACTTTGAATTCCTCTGTGCCGCAGATCACGCTTGCCATGGGAAATGAGAGGGTGTGATTATTTATAGGCCTGTTTAGCAAGGTGCTTCCAAATCCTCTAATAAAATCTGTATATACGCACGAAATTAATACTACGAAAAAATACAGCTTTCTATATTTATCTTTTCAGATTTTTTTTTTTTTTTTTTTTTTTTTTTTTTCCCCACAAAGCTGTTTACAAGGGGAATGGTTCATTCAGACCTACAGCCAGACTCACAGCTCAGACCATAAATACGAGGCTGGGGGACAAGGCCTGGCTGTGCCTGAAGAAGGGACAGGACTGGGAGCACCCAGCAGCACCCCTGTGCCCATGGGGGGCTGCCAGAGAGCCTGACCAGGCCTCTTCTCAGTGGGGCACAGTGGGAGGATGAGGGCCTGGCAGCTGGAAACCTCTCCCCAGGAGCAGAGGCGAGCAGGGACATGGGCTGCTCGGGGCTGTGCAGGCTCCTTGCCTGCCTGAGCGGCCTAGTCCAGCCCCAGGGCTGGCCTCTGGCAGCAGCTGTGGGCACCAGGACTTTTCTTTATAAATGAATTGGTGTCAGTTAACGCTTTCTGTTGCCTTGGTGAAATGGAAATTTCTGGTTACCCTTTTATATTAATTAACACTTACCCTGAAGACATTCTGTTTTTTAAGGTACAATTCTGAAGTTCAGCAGTGCCAAGCCTGGATCCTGCATCGAAGGCCAAACTTTGAAACATCCCCTTTATCCTTTATCACGCTTCCCAGCAAACACTTCTTTGGATAATATCTGGGAATGTATATTTCCTGTTTAGCTATTTAATCCTCCACAATTAGTTTAAAATCCTGACCTCTTACAATGAACTATTAATAGACCCATCAATCCTAAAGGTTTTTGTTTGACAAATACAGATTTATGGTGTTCCATGAGATGATTTGTTATTAGAGCCTCTGATAATGTAATTTCAGCCTGGTGACAGATCATCATAGCACTGTCTTCCCAGGATGTAATTACTTTAGAATTTTCCTTCTACATGTTCAGAACTCCATGGATTCACTCCTTTCTCCACATCAGTACTTTTTACAAGTTTCATACTTTTTATTTCTTCTGTGGACCTCTCTTTTTCAGTATGTTATGCCGTGTGTGACCTCCCCGTGTTTTTCAGAAGCCTGCTTAATCTTTGCACCAACATCATTTTATTACCTTAATGTAGGAAGTCATCAATGACACATATCTCGGAATTGAACAAGTAATATGGTCTCAGTGAGTAATTCCCCGGATGCTTTACTAGGGTGACCTTCAAAGTATCTGCAGTGTCTCATCTTTTGCTGTGATCTCTGCAAATTTATTCCTCATTACTTCTGACACTGGGTAATCTAAGAAAACTACTCACACTGTAAAAGTCTGTCATTTTCACGTAAAATTCTCAAATACTTCAGAGAGCATGTCTTATCCGATGTCTCTTATCAATCTGTATTTCCCTGTTTACATTCTGTTATTTAGTCACACGGTAATATCCAGGGAAAAAGAAAACAGTCACCGTGTATTGGGAAGCACACCATTTTATTTCTCCTTTCCATGTGTTGTGAAATTCTAATTTCCTTCTACCTCAAAGAGTATCTCCAACTTGATTAACCCCAAGCACCCCAGTCAGAATCTGTAATCTTTTTTTTTTTTTTTTTTAATGTACCAAAATAATTGGCTCTTCTGTTTTTTAATAAATATTTATAATGTAAAAGGGTGTTTACACTGTGCTTTGAGCTTTATTCTCCTGACTAGAGAGAGGAATCCTTGTGGGAGAAGGAATCCCTGGACAATTACCTGGTGTTCCACAGCTTCCTCAGCCAGTGGTTTTTGTTTGTTTGTTTGGTTGGTGGGTTGGTTGGTTTGTTTTATTCATTCCTCTACATATGCACAGTGCAAATGGCTGCCAGAAGAAAACAAAACAAACTGAAAAGATTATATGAACTATTTTTTTGATAACTGTATGAAACAAACCAGTTCCTAACTTTAATTCCTACTAAAGAAAGTGGTATCTTGAGTGAGACAAAAAATTAAATTATTTTATTTGCTACCATGAATTTTCCTCTCTCTCATTTTTTTTTTTCTCTCTCCTATTCAGCAGCTACAGTTTTAGCTGCAGTGTATGCCTGAGTATCAGTGTTTAATTTGCAGTTTGCATGAATGCCATCACCAGTGAAAGAAGCAGTTTTCTCAGGTCAGATTCAGCTCTAGCTAGTGTTCTTGGTTGCTCACTCCACTGCCTTTCCATCACTCCTTGTTTTCCTAATTGTTAGGCATTTTGTTTCTTTCTGTCCTGACTGCAAATTAGTGCAAATTGTTTATATATCTTTCTACAGCTGTTGCAGCATTTTTCAGGTGTTACACATTGTTTGCAGCTGTGCAGCTTCTCTTCTGAGAAATGTCCTGTCTTTCCAAGTCTACTTAGTGTAGATGTATTTTTCCCTCAAACATTTTATTTCTAGGCATTTTTTTCCCCCCCTCACATACCTAGAGAGATCGATAAAGGTTAGTCTGCATCTTCCACCAATCTTTTCCACATTTTGGTCCTTGGGTCTTCTTTCTTCCTGGATCCATTTTTCTATTTGGAATGGAGGACTTATGTTCAGAGAAGAGGTTGGATCGTGTGGGCCATGGACTGTTGGCCCACAGCCTGCACCCATGGCAGAGTCTGCACTGGCTGTGCCTTACCAGGGCACTGCTCCGTGGTTTTGAGCCAGCTCCAGGTAGCAGCCTTTCAGCCTGCATTATATGGCAAGTTCAAGGCAGAGTCCTGGAACAAAAATGGTGCCAGTAGGCTCTTTGGGGTTCTTCCAAAGATTTCACAGCTCCCACTGATTTCAGAGCAGGCTCTGATCCTCCTGAGGATGTGCTTGTTGTGGGAGCGTCGGCCTATTGCTCTGAGTGACCAATCTTCCTCTTAATGGACAATGTTATAAAATACAAATATATGCCTTAAACTCACAAACCTGGTGTTTCTTAATATGGAAGCTTCCTCATAACACCCACATATGCCTCTGACTCCAGTTTCATTGTGCTGTTTTTAATGATTCTGCCATCCTGTTTTCTGTGATGGTACACAAAATAGCCTTTCCCTCCTTCTTTGTCTTCCCCTTCCTTCCTCTGCAGCCTCAGGACTAACATCAGGAGCCTGCACAGGGCAGTCCCAGAGTGCAAGCGCACCCTGCCACGCCATTTACCCCCATCACAGCCTGCTGTCCATGCAGAGGCAGTGTTGGGAAGAAACAGTCCCAGCATCCTTCTAAGCAAATCCCTCTTGTGGCTGGTTGCAAGGCCAGAGGGGATCTGCAGACTGCCAGAAGCCAGGTCAAGGTTGCTGACAGAAGATGATATTGATGCCACGTCCTGGGCTGTGAGGTACATTGCCCTAGGAGGTACATTGCAGGGCCATTATGTCTACACTGCATCAAGGTCTGCGCTGACATAATTATTTTAGGTATTGATCATGCCTCCTGCAATACCTACCAAGCAGATGGTAGAGCTGCAGTAGCCCATAATAGTCAGTACTAACACAACTATTTACTACACAATGCCACTCCATGAAACTCCATATTTAGGTTATTTAGCTTTGTTCAAAGTCTGCTCTGAAAATGTTAAAACTTCTTGGGAGAAGAGATTCAATCCAGTCCAAGGAAAAGAATCTAAGCAGAGCCTGGCAAAGCATTCAAATTACTCTATTTAAAAGGAAACTGGATGCTCAGCAAAATCGAAGGATCTCTAAAATAAATAAAGCAATTTATTTTTACTCTCTCTGATTTGCTAACTACAGGAAGAAAAAACATGTTTTGCTTGACAGTACTTTT